TCAGACGCAAGAGACTACTGCAAGCTAAAGAAATGGAAAAGTCTTTAGAAGGAACCGTAAAGCCAATAATAGTATAAATTTCAGTGTTTTGACGATACGAGTTTGGAATTGAATTAGAAAGAACCGGAAAATTGACTCTAAAAGGCAAAAAAACCTCACCCCCCCCAAAAAAAATCCTAGAATACAGCAATGATTACAGACACAAAAGGCAAAAATAAGTAAATAAATAAACTTTCTTTGTTATATACATTATAATACAAGAAATGCTTGACAGTTTTCTCTTGGAAGAAAAAGAAACTTGAAGCGGCAGATACTTGGTTCCACTGACGAATTCTACGAATAATATGGACAAAATATGGAAGCAACAAAGAAGCCTTGACGAAAATAAGAACGCCTTATACTAGCAACCAGAAAGAAACAGGCGAAACGTCTGGAAAACCTAATGAGGAAAGAGTGCTTGGAGAATTTAACACTCACAAGACATAAAACAAGAAAAATAGAACTAAGCAATTAATAAATATTCACACTATTTACGTTGTTCGAACAATTGTCCTCATCTTTGTTCCCATATTCACAACGTTTCGGCCGTTGTATGCTCCGCTCTTTTCTTTTTTTTTTCGGGTGATTGGAGTTTCGAAATGAACCCATTATTTTGTCCACCAGGGTAAGATTGTTTTAGTTCCACCTGAAGAAGGCAGGAGCGTACAACGGCCGAAACGTCTTGAATATGGCAACAAAGAAGAGAACAACAGTCCGAACAATATAGTGTAAATAATTACAATACCTCATCACAGAAATATAGACAGAAAATATTAAATAACTTAACGATTTTGTGTGAATGGCAAGCAAGACTGAGACGAAGAAGGATGGTAAAACGTTAAAGATTTCTTGGAGCAACAACAAAAAGTGGGAAGATGTAGAGAGCCACGAATGTCTACGTGCTGAAATGAAAGCAGATCACACACACACACACTTATAGCAAATAAATCATAAATTCTTTTTACATATTTATTTAGTCGGTCTAATTGTTATGCTTCGCGGGTTACTAACAGAAGTCGAGTGTAACAGGTGCACGGTATTTTCTTTACGCTATTCATAAAGCGTGACGAAAAAATCATTTTATTTTCATTGAATGTTCATCTTTATCGTTAAAGACAAAAGAAACTGCTGCTTGTATATTTGAGAAATGAAAGATTCGAAGACGGCAAGTAGGTCATTGAAGGAATCAAAATAGATAGGGGTCCCTATGAGAAGAAACTAAACCCCCACTACAAGCTGGCACGCATAAGCAGCTCTTCAAACATAGACTAAATTACCCATAGGCTCTTGTTACCTGGTCGCTCCTTTGAAATTTATGACAGCTACTTTTTGTCAGGTGGTTAAGGAATGCTGAGTGTAACAGGTGTTCGTTTTTGTTTTTTGTACAAATCGTACAATCGGTAAGTCTATTTATTTTTTTCTAAGGGTAGCTTTTTTTTTTAAATCGAGTTTCTCCCTCCCCCAAGTATGGCACTAAAGCCACTGAGGTGCAAGGGGTTACTGGGTGTAAGAAACAATTAAGAAAGACTTAGAAACAGGAACATTGTTAAAGATCGAGAACAGAGGAAGAGTAATCAGGAGGACAGTACATAACAATTGACATTGCACTTAAATTTACAGTGTAACCCGGATATAAGAGATCCGGATATAAGAGAAACCCGGATATAAGAGAGATTTTCTCTGGTCCCAAATTAGAGCCTGTGTTAATGTATATATAATAGACCAAACCCGGATATAAGAGAAACCCGGATATAAGAGACTTCTTCTCCGGTCCCGACAACTCTCTTACATCCGGGTTACACTGTATTTGCGGATTAAATTTGTCTGGAAAGCATATAACGGAAAGGGAGTTCCACAAGCGAAAGGTGCGATTAAAGACACTGTGAGCATAGGATCTGCGGTTGCATCTAGCCAGATCAACATCATAAATTGATGAAACCTTTCGCATGAGGAAGGCATGGGTATATATCCTCTTCCCCTGGCGTTTACAGCAGGGATTGACGAACTCTTTTGCCTTAAGGTGGCAACTCGTCAAGAAGAAGGAAAACTCTTAATTCAAAACCAGTCTGAAAAGGGATGGGCTCAGCCAGGATCTTCTGCCCTAGAAACGCTTCTGCTGCTGTTGTTACAGTACATGTAACAAACTGGCGTTCCTTATGAACCATACGACTCGTGACGCGTCTAGGAAATAATTTCATGCTTTTTTCTTTGTACATTTAAGATCATTAGCTTTTGACAGAAACTGTAATTTGTGAATCTTTCTCTCTCTCTCTCTCCTCTCTCTCTCTCTCTCTCTATATATATATATATATATATATATATATATATATATATTATTATAATTATTTTTTTAAAAATATGATTCCTTCGCTACATAAGAGTTCTCATGTTTCAAAGACAAGAGACGAAGCCATCAATATAATTATTAAAATGAAATTGAATTAAAGTAACAAGCGCCATTCAGCCAGAGTGCTCGTATTCATTTTACCAATGAGCTTTGCTTTTTAGCGTAGGCGGCTGCTTGTTTGTAGAATTAGGCTGTCTCTCAGGAGTGCAAAATTGAAATATATTATCAAGAACTTAATTATGTCATTCGCAGACAGTACTGTTTCGCCGTATTACAGCTCTTTTAGTGCAACTAGACGTCCGAAGCCTCAATATATATATATATATATATATATATATATATATATATATATATATATATATATATATATATATACAACATTGTGTCTGTGTATCTGTCTGTCTGTGTCATACCTTTTCACTCGAGATCCATCCAACCGATTTTGACCAAACTTGGCGTATACATTGTACAATATAAGAGATTGGTTCTTCGCGTAGAAAATCGATAATTTTTAAAAAATCAGTAATAGATAAAGCCGATCATAAATCGATAAATTCAACTTTTTTCCTCTGATTTTTCGTTGAAACTCGGTACATAGATTACTTACATCATGACGAGCTCAAGGATACCTCATTTTTATTTCTACGCCACTGAGTTTAGCGAAAAACCGCGAAAAACGAAAAACCGATTTCAACACTAATTTAAACTACAAACTCCTTCAATTTTCAAGAAATCTAATACAAACTTCGCTCAATTGTAACCAGCAATAAGTTGATTGTTTTAAATGAGTCCATCCATTGAATGAAAACTCGAGTAAATAGCGAAAAATGGCGATTTTTACTGGTTTCTTTCTTATTTTTCGTTGATCTTTCAACTAATTTTCATCAAACTTAACAATTGCTTTATCAATGTATCCTCTTTTACATCCCTGACAAATTGAATTTCATAAACTCCAAAATAATTGTGGTCTGTAGTAGGTCTTCATGTTGCTTGTTTTACCCCTTCATGTCCTCGGCTAACTTCGATTGAATAAATACAGACGACTTCTGTTTTATCAGTATCTGCATTAATCCAAAGTGTTTTTAATGAAAACACATAATTGAATTACTTAAGTAATTGTAGAAGATAGACTCTGATACATCTAAACACATTGCTGTTTTGCTCCATACTAATTGAACGCTTTTTCTTATTGACTAGCTGGTATGGCTGCTAGCTCGTAGCTATATAAATTTCTCTCTCTCTCTCTGTTGCCCTTGTATTCCTCTCTCTCTCTCTCTCTGTTGCCCTTGTATTCCTCTCTCTCTCTGTTGCCCTTGTATTCCTCTCTCTCTCTCTCTGTTGTCCTTGTATTCCTCTCTCTCTCTGTTGCCCTTGTATTCCTCTCTCTCTCTCTCTGTTGCCATTGTATTCCTCTCTCTCTCTCTCTCTCTCTCTGTTGCCCTTGTATTCTCTCCTTCTCTCGCTCATGTACTCCCTTCACTTTTACATAGTTTACATTATTCGAACTGTTATCCCCATCTTCATTGCCATATTCACAATGTTTCAGCTGTTGTATGCTCCAACCTTCGTCAGGTGATTGGCATTTTGAACCGAACCTTTTAATATTGCAGTTAAAAGCGTAAAGGAAATTATCTAAGTAAAACAAGTTTCGGAAACAAAAACAAAAAAAAAAAATTATCCCAACATATGACTAAAATCAGAAAATCTAAAATATCTATATATTTATAAAAAAAAAAAAAAAAAAAAAAGTCTCTGAATTAGAATGCTTATTTGTGAAAGTAAATGCTGGTCAAAATATAATTCCGTAGTAGAGGACAAAAGGAGAGTTTAGTTTGCTCAAAAAAGATCGTTTTATATCGCATTCTGACAGCTGTAATATAAATTTGCTAAATTAGAAAATTTCAGAATTGGAGTTCTTTTTTCTGTCCGAATTTCTTGCATGAAGAGATGTCATTATTTATATTATTTCATGTTCATTACCATCCTCAATTTTGCTGTTACAGTGTAACCCGGATATAAGAGAGTTTTCGGGACCGGAGAAGAAGTCTCTTATATCCGGGTTTCTCTTATATCCGGGTTTTGTCTATTTTATATACATTAACACAGGCTCTAATTTGGGGACCAGAGAAAATCTCTCTTATATCCGGGTTTCTCTTATATCCGGGTTTCTCTTATATCCGGGTTTCTCTTATATCCGGGTTACACTGTACTATCAAAACGTTTTAGACCATGTGCACTCCAACGGTGTCTGTCGATTCGTGTAAACGCCAGAGAATTTCGAACTGCTAGAGTGTTTATTTATAGAGACAGAGTGAGCATAAGAATCAACACTGGATCATGATTGTCAGTTTTATTCCCCCCGAGAGAGATTTATTAATTGACACAACGATCTTTGATAATGGCTTCAGTAAGTCTAAAACGAACGGAAGAGGTTGGATAATTAATGTCCAACCTCGGCCTGGAAAAAAAGCAAAATGTTGCGAAGTAAAGTAAAAATAAATTAAAAAAAAAGTATATTTTAAAAAAATTTCTTTGTTCTGTAGCCAAATGTGTATCAAAGTAAGAAAAAAAAAAGAGAAAAAAAATTAAAAAAGGAAAAAAGAAAAGAAAAAAATCACTGGTCAAATAATGAAAAGAGTAACGAAAAAAAAACGTAAGAGAAGATTAGATTAGAAAAAAGAAGACAAATACAAGGATATAATGTATAAACAGAAAAGGATAGATAGATAGATAGATAGATAGATAGATAGATAGATAGATAGATAGGTCGGAAAAGATTAATAAACAGCCATAAAATGAAAATAAGATTAAGAATGTAAAAAAAGATTAAGATAGATATATAGATTGATATATAGGAAGTCCCTTCTATATAGAAGAATGAATTCAAACATATATGAACTGGAAAAATATATATATATATATATATATATATAGATAGATAGATAGATAGATAGATAGATAGATAGATAGATAGGTCGGAAAAGATTAATAAACAGCCATAAAATGAAAATAAGATTAAGAATGTAAAAAGATTAAGATAGATATATAGATTGATATATAGGAAGTCCCTTCTATATAGAAGAATGAATTCAAACATATATGAACTGACAAACATATATATATATATATATATATATATAGATAGATAGATAGATAGATAGATAGATAAATAGATAGATAGATAGATAGATAGATAGATAGATAGAAAGTGACATGATGATCGACATGGAAGGAAAGATCTAACGAATAATCCCAAATAGTGTGTGTAGCCATTGGACGAAAGATTATATTAGACTAAGAAAGTCTAGTTCATATCGAAGAAATGAATGTTGATGCACAAGGGATTGATACAGAGGGGAGAGTAGAGGGATAAATAGACGGAGAATATACGAGAAATACTTGCTGAAATAAAAAAAAAAAAGAGTGAGACAGATACCTCATGAATATTTCCAACAGAAGGAATGTTTCTAAACAGTTCGTTCACAACAGGGAAAAAGTGATGGTATGATTGAAGGAGTGAGTGAGAGACATGGGGCTTAGAGGGAGAAATCAAAAGGTACTTAGATACAGAGTGAGTCCGTTAAAGTGACTGTGAGAGAGAGAGAGATAGAAAGAGTGAGAGAATAATCCCATGAGATGGAAAATTTCCCAATAAAATTTCGTAGACAAGATAGATAGATAGAGAGAGAGAGAGAGAGAGAGAGAGAGGAGTGAGAGAGAGAGAGAGAGAGAGAGAGAGAGGCAGGTAGATACTGAGTTAACGAGAGAGAAAAACGGAGAGAGATTGATTGGAACAAAAAGAAGACTAAAGAATAAATACCATGAAAGGGAATATTTCCAAACAAAACTTCCTACAGAAGAGAGAGAGAGAGAGAGAGAGAGAGAGAGAGAGAGAGAGAGAGATGCGAGGTATAAATCGAAAGAAAATGAGAAACGGAGAGACGGATAGATAGAGAGCGATAGAGAGAGAGAGAGAGGGAGTGTAAGAGAGAATAAGAGGAGTAATGAAAGGAAGAGAACGATGTCTAAAGAACAATCCACCCCCAAAAGGAAGGATCCTTTTAAGACAAATCTGGGGGTGAGTTAAAGTTCTTACAAGAGAGTGAGTGAGAGACAGAAAGCGAGAAGACGAGAGAGTAAGAGAGAGAGAAAGTAAGAGAGAGAATTGATTGAAAAGTTCACGACTGGGCAAAAGAACACTTGACCCTCTTGAACCAATACTCATCACTTTATAACCTCGTCCTTTTTTTAACATGGTCTTCCATTCACGATGCCCATTGCAACAATACTTTTGTCTTCGTGTTCCCTTGAGGATCTTTTCGAGTGGTTTCGATTACTGACAGTGCATTCGGAGCCACTGTACTGAGGCACTCTTCTCTCGTCTCGGCATTTCCAACGATCATTGTCCTACTTCCGTGATTCAACTGATCAATAACATCCACCACGCCTCTTCTGACTCCCGAGAGACAATAAAATGTGTGACATTTAAGATTTTGGTTTGTTTTGTTTTGTTGTATGGCATAACAATCTCAGGGATAAGATTTTTACAATAGTAACGTATGAAAAGAATGTTTTCTTTGTAAAGCATCAATATTATTTAAAAAAAATGTATTGCTGGTAATATTTAAAAAAAAATGTATTGCAGGTAATATTTTTTTCTGAAATGTATCACTGGCAATATGTTTTTTCCTAAATGTATTGCTGGTAATTTTTTTTCAAAACTGCTTTACTGGTAATAATTTCCTTCTTTTCCTAAATGTATTGCTGGTAATATTTTTTTCTGAAATGTATCACTGGCAATATGTTTTTTCCTAAATGTATTGCTGGTAATTTTTTTTTCAAAACTGCTTTACTGGTAATAATTTCCTTCTTTTCCTAAATGTATTGCTGGTATATTTTTTTTTTCAAAAATGTATGGCTGGTAATAATTTATTTTTTTTCAAAAATGTATTGCTGGCAATATTTTTTTTCCAAATATATATTGCTGGTAATAATTATATTACTTTTCAAAAATGTTTTGCTGGTAATAATTTTTTCGGAAAAATGTATTGTTAGTAATCATTTTATTTTCCAACAATTTATTGGCGGTAATAATTTTTTTTTAAAAATGTATTACTGGTATTTTTTACTATAAAAACATATTTTTACACTTTCATAGTATTTTGATCCAAGTTTGAGGGTGGACTGATCAATAACACCCACCACGCCTCTTCTGACTCTCGAGAGACAATAAAATGTGTGACATTTAAGGTATTGGTTTGTTTTGTTTTGTTGTATGGCGTAACAATCTCAGGGATAAGATTTTTACAATAGCTGGGGCCCTAAAAGGGTGGACCTTGGATCAACAGCAATTAAGTGGTGGTTCCATGCTCCTCAAAACTTCCTGATCAGAGACCTTGCTGCCAGATGTAGTTTATCGTCATACACAGGGCGCCTCTTACCCCTCTGCAGAGGTTCAGTCGGCGCATTTTGAAGCCTAGGCCGGCATGGCGGTGACATTTAGATACGATATCTGTCCTCCTGTAGGACAGCGGATGCTGGATAATCTCCTCAAAGATGAAGAAGAGACTCAAAGCAACAGAAATGTGGTTCTACAGAAAGATGTTAAGGATACCATGGACCGAACATGTGAGCCACGAACAGGTTTTTGGAGAGAATAGAAGCTAAAAGGAAACATACTTAACACCAGGAAGAAGTAGCTGAAATTTTTGAAGCACGTAATGAGGAAAGAGTGCTTGGAAAATCTGATACTCACGGGACGGATCGGCGAAAGAGGGTCAGGAGAAAGCAACGCGTGACATACTTAATGGGCTTGTGTAAATGGATGGCAGAATAGGATCTGTGAGAAATAACAAAATGACAAAACTTATTAAGAGCAACAATGAATAGGAGGATGTGGAGGGCCATGATCGCCTACGTTCTGAAGGGACCCGGCACATAAAAGAAGAATGGAGCTTGACAACAGCCTATTCTTTTTAAAAACACCAGAAGAGAAAATCTATTGAGAGAAGTTCAGGCCCTTTAACATCAGTGAGAAAAAAAATCTCAGTAGTCATTGTATTTAAACATGTAACTATATTTTAAACATAATATTAAAAAAAAAAGCTGCTCTGTGGAGGAACGTTGGTCAGCGCGAGAAGTGGGGTCGGCGATCCGGGTTCAAACTGTGGACAGTACTAACGCATTTATTTTCGCACAAATTTGGTAATGTATGAAACCATTTTCTCCCAGCTACGTGTTAAATCGTAGGGTAGACTTGAATCTCTAGCCTTGAGTGGTAATCAGTCTAAGTGAAGGAAAACTCTGAATTCCAAAACCGCAGAGAAGACAAGGTGAAACCAACCCACTATCCTCTCCAAGAAGGAATGGCAATTCATAGATAATAAAGCAAAGGTATCTGTGGAGAGTCATGATCGCCTACGCCGTGAAAAGACATAGCGTTTAAAAAAGTAACTGATCTAAACGATATTAAAACGTAATATTTGATGTACAATTTTGATTGATGGTTGAAGATGGTTACCTAGAACCATGGGTAGATTCGTGCTTAAGATTCTAGATCGAATGAACCATAGCTGGTATTTCCAAAGAAACTAAGAAATACTACGAGGAAACTAAAAGTACTAAGATGAAACTAAATAAACAATAAGGAATTAAAATGTACTAAGAAGAAACTAAGAAATAATAAAAAGAAACATAAATGTAATAAGAATAAATAAAAAATTCTCCAAAGAAACTAAAATTAATAAGAAGGAAGTAAAGAGTAATAAAAAGGAACTAAAAAGTATTTAAAAGAAACGAAGAAATATTAAGAGACTAAAGAGTACTAAGAATTCGAGAAATCTCAGTAAAGAAAATCCGTTCGCGGGAAGGGAAACCACCGTTTGATCCTGTGTGCCTAACCGTTCGGCCACGAAGAATGTCACAGCAAGCAAAGCTCTATTTTCCATTTTCAAGGAAAACAAATCCTCTTCGTTCATCATATTTTCTATCTGCTCAGTTTCATATCCGAAACGCAAACAAAGAATTTCGTAAAGAATTAATAGATTTATTTTTAATCCGACATTTTTATTACATATGTTGTGGATTCCGAGATGAAATTCGGTCTCAAATGAATGACAAACGCAGGAATGAAATATAACAAATAAATGTATTTACACAATAATACAATTAGTAATACGGTTAGTAGATCCAGAAACGCGGTTAGTAGCAATAATAATAATAATAATAATATATATATATATATATATATATATATATATATATATATATATATATATATACAGTCTGGTAAATTCAGTCTCGAAGTAGGATTTCCTGAGAGTCTACGTGTTCGCAACTGTGACTTCTACAAGCGGTTACCTCACACTATTACGCTACCTCCAACTCAATCACAATCACCCAGTCTGTCAAATCTGACTCTGGGTATTTAACGGCAGCAGTACACACTGGTCGAGTCCACTTGTATGAAAAAGGGGTGGACTCCATAACAACATAAAACTATTATACTGAATACTTGATATCTAAAATAGACGCCCCACTTTTATTTATTAAAGAGCGTGTCTTTTCTCGATTGATCTGCGCATTCAAGAAATCATAGTACAGAAAATGTGTCTA